ATAAATAAATCATCAATCAATTTCTACTATATAATTTGACATTATCTGCCATATTTGAACCATTTTTATTATATATTTTGTTAAAATTTTTTTCAAAAAATCATTAGACATTTGTCAAAATTTACACATTTGCCAAATTTTAATTATATATTATATTTATGATTTAAAGAAATTATAGCTAAATATTCGCGAGAGTCTTGTCGATTAGAGGTTCTATATATAAATGGAATAAATCGGCCAAAAATATTATGAATAGGGATTATACATTTATGTCTAACTGAATAAAATTCGATACTTTACAATTCAACATTCGTGTCATTTTCAGATCCAAAATAAAATCTATTTTCTGCCAAATTAACTGGTTTGTACTACTGAATAAAGACCAATCAATGTTTAATAACATTATTCGGAAAGTTTACCGAATGTGTAAAGAAGAATTGAACTTGTTCCAGATATAAATCGACACTTTCATCGGGATTCACGAATCTAGCTAATATAAATGAGCCCTTAATATTTCACGAGGACATAACAGAATTGAATATTTTACTCCCAATTCAACATATACCATATTGATCTACTCTATTCCAAATAATTATCAAATTTTTATTATTTTTCATAAATAGTCTCCGAAAGTCCATAATTTCATAAAATGCCTTATAGTATTTGACTAATAGATCTAATATTTTGACAGATACCTCTAAATTTGGTTTTTTCAGGTGCAAGAGTTCACCTGAAAAATGTTCAGATCCATTGATTATTGTTTCATGAATATTATATGTGTTGTTTAAAAATTGATATAATTCGTTAGCCAAAAACTGACCTAGTTCAAAAATTGAGTCGATATTTGATCTATTATTTAAAATTTCAAGCTCCGGGTTATTAGGATAGGACATAGTTAGATTAATAATTCGATGATAATTTATCAATCTTCGTATTAATTCGGGTTCAATATTTTGGTGACTATTAGGCAATGACCCTAGATTAAAAATTTGTTAGAATTCTACCTCTAAATGTTAAATTTGTTTAAAAAACTTACTTAATATACCATTTATTCTCTCAAATGAAAAGCACTAAAATGTATACAATGGCCCATAATTACATATACATTCATATAAATGTAATGAAAAATGAAGATCAAAATAATTTTTTCTTCCCCATATTTTTGTTCTATTAGTTTAATCATCGTGATTAATCTTTCGTAAGCCTTGTTTAACAAATTTCTTCTTAAAATTCAGTATACTAAGATTTGATAAATCTTGACAAAATTCGTTAGAATTTGGTGATTCATATCTGAAAGATGCTTCTATAGTGAAAGAAAAGAAGAAGAAAAAGAAAAATAATAAATAGTTTAATCAATTAATTTTGTAATTTTCTAATAAATTTTATGAAATTTGTTAAACTTCTTAAATATTTAATAAATTTTAATATTGAATTTATAACTTTTGTCAAATTTTTTACCATAGTATACAATTTTTTTTGCCAAATTTTTTATTGTAGTATCAATTTTTTATCAAATTTTTTTGTCACTGTATACAAATTTTTTGTACAATATATCAAATTTGTATCAAATTTTTGTATATTATATCAAATTTTATATCAAATTTTGGATCAAATTATTTTGTTACAATGCATTAAATACCAAATGGTAGTAAGTAAAAATAATTTGTCAAAGTTTTTATTATTAGATTTTATCAAATTTAGTAATAATTTAGCTAATAAATAATATAATTTTGACAAATATGAAGAATATTATAATTGATAAAGATTCTCTTTACTATTTATTTTTTTATTATTACAAAGCAAAAAAATAGTTGAAAAATTTAACTTTTTAGATAATAGAAGATATTTATTAGTAAAATTTTTTTAATTAGATATAACTACTGAAAAATATTATATAGAAACATTATAGTTTAATTTTTACTAGATTATATAAGAACCTAGAATCTATTATAAATTGTCTATTAATTATAAATGAATAAAAAATCACTGTTTAAAGAAAGTTGAAATCAAGTGTATTATTGAAAGTAAAGATTCTTATTAAGTAATAAGTCTTCTCAGACTTTATATAAGAAGGAAATCAAGATCAAGAATGTATAATTTTTTCAAATAATCAAGAAAAAAAAGAATATTTAAATTGGATATTTCTTATTAAAAAAAAGGTTTGAGAAATAAATCTTTAAAAAAAGTTGAAAAGTTTTATTTTTTGTTTTTTTATTTATTTACTTAAATATTTTTAGATATAATTTTTCAATTCATTCTTTTGTAATTTTTTGTATTTTAGTAGTTTGATAGAACATTTAGTAATATCAACCTGTTAGTAATGAAGTAGTAAACTAATAAAATATTTATTTAAAAACTATTATAAAGCAAAATATTATTCTCAATATCAAATTTAAATACTATTATTGTTTGTGATGAGTTTATTAGATTTGATAAAAATGTTTAGCTGTAGTATATATTATATTACTCAAATGAAAATATATTTGTTAAAAAAAAAAAAATAATAATTTATAAATATGAATAATTTTTTTTACAAGTTTTATAAATTTTTATTAAATAAAAGATAAATAGTTAATGAATTTTTAATAAATAATTTTGATAAATAGTTGTTTAATTTTTAATGAATAGTTTAATAAATAGTTACAGAATTTTTAATGAATAATTTTAATAAATAGTTGATAAATTATTAATAAATCATAATAAATTTTTGATAAATTATTAATAAATTAATGTCAAGTTTTTATTGAATTATTATAAATAATTTTGTAATAGATTTTTGTTGAATGTTAATGAATTTTTGTTAAATAGTTAATGAATTATTTGACAAATTATCAATGAATTTTTTGATGATTTATTGTTAAACTTTTAATTGATGAATTTTTAATTGTTAAATTTCTGATTATCACTTTATTGCCAAAATAGTAATATGTCAAGTGGCAACAATAAAAAAGAATTTATTAATATTTTTATTGCTAAATTTAATCAAATTCAACAATAATTCAACGCCAAATAATATAATTTAGATTAGTGCTTTGCTTAAAAAAATTTTTTAATATAACTTTAGAATATTATCAAAAGAAAAAACAAATCAATTTATAGTGATAAAATATAGAAAAGGAACTTGCTAATTAAAGGATAATTTAAATCATTAAGAAAACGAAATATTATTTTTCACTTAAAACTTATACAATTTGTAAAGATTCTTAAAATAACGAAATACTTTAAATCTAGATATTGTTTATATATTATAAACTGTTTGATGATTAGCTTTATTTTTTTTAATAAAGTATGACTATCATGTCTTGTTAAATATAAATAATTAATAATGCAATTTCCTATTTCCTATTTTCCTATTTAATTAAAAAAAATATTGAATGTATTAATTTAATTATTCTTGTGCCTTAATAACAATAAGTGATGCCAAGGAAAACTTCAATAATATTATCGAAGTCTGGTTTTCCCTTGGCGTCACTCATACACTTAAGGAATATATTTATATTTCCCTAATTAATATTACCGTAATTGTTTACAAGGATTTACCACGAACAATTAGCTAAAAATTTTGTTCAATTGGTTTTCCAAGAATTCCTAGGTGGCGATCATTCTTTATTGGACAATGCTTATTTTTGGAATCTTAAAGGGTATTTATTTCCATTTACAAGTGAAATTAACCTACTTTACTTCTACTTTACATAATGAATGGTGGCAAAAGGGAATACCAACTTGAAGACGGAAAGCTGATCTTGGACCGTGTTCGTCCTTACTTCCTTATTCCTTTGGCAACCCCGCCAAAAAAAGTCACTCTCCCACCTACAGACTCTCTGCATAAAGATATTGCTGCGTATTTCGCGGATTCATTGAAACAAGCGGCTTGCAAGATAATTTCGATTTCAGTGTTGCAGAATACAACACTTTGGGAAAGGTAATATTGTATGTAGTCGTTCGGCAGATTGTACTAGATTCCATGTGTTAAAAATTTCAGCAACCTGTAACTTCTCTTTCTGAATTAAGATATCACATGTTTAAGAGCTTGCAACAGGCTATCGAACAGGGGGAGAGAGCCACAGAAAAAAGTTCACAAGGAGCATTCATTGATACTGCGTTCAAAGACACTGTATTATTTCACGGTACTCAGCCGGATAATGTATCTTCAATACTGGATCATGGATTGGTGGGTTAAATTATAACATGTTTTCCTTTACTAGTAAAATATTAATTGATCACGAAAATTTAGGATGGAAGACTCTCTAAATCGTATGGTAATTGCGGTCCCGCAATATATTTATCTCCGAGCTTCGAAAAATGTGATATGTTTGCGAGCCGTTATAACGCTTCTCAAAGGTCTTTGGTAGTTTGTGTGACTGCGCTTGGTAAGGTATATGATAATACCTTAATACCGACCGTCAGTCAAAACACCAAATTTCCTCCAAGAGGCTATAATAGTGTTAAACACTTTGTATCTGTTTCCGATGAATACGTTATCTATGATAATTCACAAGTATTACCGATACTGGCTATCAATTACGAAAAAATCGAAAAAAATATTCCACATCCTGTTGCGAGCCCCTTCATGTTGCCACCTTTTCCGGTTGTTTCACCATTTGCAATGACGCCGCCTACTCCGATTACGGCATCAAATCAAACCGTAAAATTACCAATGGGTTCATCAAGATTTAATGCGTCCATTGGATTTGGCAATAATAACTGCAATTTTAGATCTTTATTTGTGACAAGTTTATCGACCATTACAACGGCGCCGGTTTTTCATCGACCAACATTACCCCAACTTCCATTAATTTCGGCGGCAAGATCATCCTCACATGCTGGTGGAAATTCAAACAACGAATCTAATTGGGTTATGCGTAAAGCACAGCAAATGTTATATCAATGGGAAGCCCAGGTCGATTTTAACCGAGATCTCTCAAACTTCTACGGCGCTTTAATGGCCGACCGGCAATTCTGGCCTCACCTATCCGGAGGGTCTTATCCAAATTTGAGATCATATTTAAATTTTGCGATAGCAAATAAACGTAGCAAAGCATCTATATATCTTGATCAGGGATTAGTTAATACGCTGGAAAATTTAAATAGCCATCAAGGGATAGTATATGCGAAGAGGAGACAAGTGGAGTTGAACAGATCTGTCAATTTGCAACAGATTCTTACGACGACCAGTAAGGAACGACTTCAAGAGGCTATTTCATCACAAGAGAGTTGTTCTATATGTGCAGAAATGATACTTCCATTCGGTTCAAATAAGGATATTGTACAGATGAACAATTGCCCCCATCTATTTCATCAATCTTGTATTGAGACTTGGCTTAATATGCCTTCTTCACAAATGGTTTGCCCAAATTGTAAAACCCCGTGCCACGACCCTACGGCGCCACCACCTATCGGACCAATGCCTGATGGGGAAATGGCATATATCTTCAGCGAAAAACTAGGAGCCTGGTTTATTTGTTACTGGATTCCAAATGGAACCCAATTGCCATGTCACGTCACGCCTGGGAGACAATTCAAAGGCACCACAAGGACAGCTGTATGCCCAATATATTTTAAATGGGGCCCACTTCTGTTTATTCGTCTTGTTGCGGCATTCTATTATCACCATACCTTCACGGTTGGGACTTCGCTTACGACCAATATGTCGGATACGACCACTTGGAATGGTATTCATCACAAGACTTCAATAGATGGGATGTTCGGTTTTCCCGATTCAACTTATGAAGAGAGAGTTTCGTTGGAATTGGATGCAAAGGGAATACTATTATTCCTTAGGGATGTGGTTTCTGAAGGTTAATCATGGTTCATTAGTTGACATACTTTTAAATCTACAAGTTTAGATCACGTTCATTTCGATTTTTTTTTTTTTTACCGGACCAAACGGTTCTATGTGGGCGAAGAGCTCCGTGGAATTATTGATCGTCTTTATTTTCACGTTCTTTTGAAATGGGTTTCAGGGATTTAATACGATTTCATAATTATGTTGGGACAAATAATAATTTTGGTCGTGAGATAAACGGCTGAAAATAATAATTATTTTTTTATTTTTATGGCTAAAGAGATTGAATTTAAATTTATAGTCATTCAAGAATTATTCTCAATGCATCAATTACAATAATTATTTTAAATTGCCTCAAAATCATTTAGAATAAATGCTATCCTAGAAAAAATTTTATAATAAAAATGCATAACTACATTGAACTATCAGTCCTATCAAAATGATATCCATAAGATTAATAGTTATTTTGCTTCTTTTTTTTTTGTCTATATTGCCCTTTTCCTTAAAAAGACCAACTCAATATCGCATTCGAAAATGAGTTTCCGGCCTCATTCACTCGAGGGAGGATTCACACCCTTCTTCTGTAATTCTTCAAGTAGATCATTGATTCGCTGTTCAACTTCATGTTTTTCGGTTGAAAGGGTAGAATATCGTTGCTGAAGTTCATGTTCACGTCTAACCAGATGATCAAATTCACCTTGAAGAGACTGTTGGATATAATCGTTAGCTATTTATTATTATACACGTCACACCGTTATCATCACAATAACTCGAATCAGGTACCTCAATACGTTTTGGTATCGCAACTTTTTCGGATGAATTCAAAGATCGAAAAGATTCTAGCTCAATTTTTGCCTGTTCGACATCCTCGAATGTTTCTAGAATTTTCTTTGAAAGGGCTCGAGACCGACTCTAAGTTGTATATTAACTGGTCAATGTAGCAAGCACAAAAATGATTCGATTGAAAATTTTCATTTTTATGTACGTACCAAATAACCGCCTAAAGTAATATTCAATTTTTTTTCCAACTTTGCTGCCCGGGTAGCATCTTTAACCATCATGTTGCGATTATTCTGTGTGACGAAATACGAGTTAATCAAATAATATTCAAGCCGAATAAAATATTTGACTTACTTCAAGCTGATTGTGAAATTGTTTGGCGTCGGTTAGTTCATGCAATTTGCGCCACTCCTCTTCAGAAAAATCGGTTCGTTGTTCATCGGTTGTTGCAAGCTCTTCTTCGATTGCCTTTCTTGCCTACAAAACACGTTTGGAATCAATTCGTATAAGCAATAATTCATTAAATATGATCGCCTACCTGATCCATCAATTCATCAGGAAACTCTTCAAATGACTCGGGTTTTTCGACGGTTGATTTACTCCCATGAACAGGATGCGTGAATGAATCATGCTGAAGTAGCAAAACCATTTCCGAATTAATTAGCTTATTGACTTCAAGATCCTCCGAAAGATCTTCCATCAAAGCCTCAATGGTCGACTTATTTACGTAGGCCGGTCGAGGAAGATCGCGCTTAACAGCCTGCGATCTACGATTAAGTCGAGCCCTTTCTGATAAGGAAAAAAAAAAAAAAACTATTATAAATAGAACGATCTCAACTCGTTATTTATTTTTACTAAATAATCACCTTCTTCCAATTCTTGCGCTATTAACTTTCTATCTCTATCGCTGGCATCTTCTTCAATACCCTCCATGGCATCTCCAATTTCACTCTGACTTTCAACTTCGGGCAAGACAATTTCGAAATCGTTTTTTGGAGTAGGTAGATTTAACAGCCCCCTTCGGAGTTGTTTAATCGTTGTAGCATCAACTAAATATTAAAAATAATTGTTGAACTTCAATATAGGTGCCTCAAAATAAAATGAGTGAAAGAGTTGCGTCAAAATTAAATTATATATAATCAATTCATACCCGAAGGTGTCCTTGGAGTTCTTAACGATAGAATCGTTCCAGGTGTCCTTGGAGTCTGCATGGAACCGCCGGTGGTTCTAGGGGTTCTCAAAGACAAACTGGTTGACGGCGTATAATCTCCTAGAGAAGAAGAATTATCTGTTTCGCCAACAACGGCCTTGGTGTTTTCTCCGGCAAACCCGATCTTTACAATCTGTAAATCATTTGGCAATAGTATTGCTGTTATTTAGTAACATTTTAATTAATTGATTGATCGATTATTTATTTACAGTTTGCAAACCTCCTCTAGTTCAGCTTCACCAACTTGTGGGGCCGGAAGTGCGAGTTTCCTTCTCTTACTAATCTGCTCGGCTTGTTTCAATTTATTTAGTTGAGCAGCTCGAGCAGGAACAAAACTGATAGCACCACCTTCCGTATCATCCCTTGCGGTTTTTTGTTTTTTCCTTCTCTTCTCCTCGGCAATCTCAGAACGCCGCTTGCCTTCGAGTTTGTGAAGGTGAACATTGGTGTGACCTGGTTCTAATTGCCTATTTTTCTCTTCGGTAATATCATAAAACCCCAAAGCTGGCTTCTTCTCGAAAGGGATGTCCGCATTATAATCCATTCCTTTCTTTTTTTTTTTCCCTTTTAGTCTGTAAAAGAAAAGTGAATATCGAGTTAACTACGAGGAATTTAACGCTAGAAGTAAGATCCGATTCATAAACCCTACTCAATCCCTGCCGCTTTCAATTCACGTCTTTTCTGTAGGGAAGCCAACCGTCGTGCTTCTTCCAATTGCTTTTCACGTGCTTTACGTTTAGCCTTTTTACCCTGTGTGTTAGCCAGTCGAGCACGCGCTTCCGACAACATTTCCTTCTCTAACAAATCAATCATCAATAACAAAAAAGAAAAAAAAATTTTTTTGAATAAAATTCCAATTCGTTTATATTACCATCCTCATCCATGTCTACCGGATCTGGCCTTGCAGGTTTCGTTTCTGGATCCGGATCTATTTCACCGGGTCGAAGTCTCCTAACGTCATCAGCACTTGGACCTGCATCGCCCGTTGGACCTGTCAAGCCCAAGTCCATTCCCTCTTTGGCTTCCGCTTCATCTAGCAATCTTTGATACCTTTCAAGACATTGAGATGGAGTCCTTCCGACGATTGGGGCAATTGTTCTCCATTGAGTGGGCATCAACTTTGCGAGATGGAGGAGTTTTTCGTCTTCTTCTTTTGACCATTCGGTCTGAATAAACCAATTTCTGATCTAACACGTCTAGAATTGGACTAATTCACTTGCTCTTTGATAATGGTTGAACTTACCTTCTTGATGCTAGGATCTAACCATTCATACCACCTTGCTTTGCATTGTTTGGGCGACTTGCGAACTAACAACGATGAGATTCGAGCCCATTGATTTTTGCCGTATTTGCTGACGGCAGCCTTCAAGATCTCGTCTGAAATTTCGCAAAGGAAATAAGTAAACACGATGTTCGCACAAAGGGTCAACCAAAAAAAATCACTTACCCTCGGTATTTTTCCAAATTCCTCCTTTGATGATTATCCTCATTTCCAACTAGAAGCCTAGAAGACAAAGTGAGAATCACCTGACAAAATAATTATGTACGTAATATAGTCACACAGAACACGCAACACTTGCGTAATCGTTAGTTATTAAGTCGTATCTTCTCATAGACTCATTCACACAAACAATTCTGTGTATAGTCTTTCGAAATGAAGATCACGATAAAAACCTTGCAACATAAGCAATTCCAATTGGACGTCGAGCCTGAGGACAAAGTACTCCAGAGTTTTACCGATCAATACTTTCTTCTAACCCTTTTTGACTTTTCGTTCCTTTTTTTTTTTTTGTTCGCTTATAAGGTTCTTGAGGTAAAGAAAAAAATCGAGCAGAGTCAAGAACATGCAGTTTCATGTCAAAAACTTATTTTCGAAGGTGAAAATTTAAGAAATTATTATTCGGGCCTCAAGGAATGTGGAGAAGCAGACACTGATTGTATTCGTTTTTTTTTTTTTTTTTTTTTTTTTTTTTTTAAAAGGAAAAATTCTGGTTGATGATAAATCTTTATCCGAGTATAAAATTTCGGAGAAAAGTTTTCTAGTACTTATGGTTTCGAAGGTATTTTTTTCTTTGGGGCATTGTGGATCTGGGAGAGACGTGTTTTCGTGTTTTTCGGCGCACGAAATTCATTATTGTGCATATTCTACGTTCAGCCTCCAAAACCAGCATTTACGCCATCCACCCAACCTAACACGTCTGCGTCATTACCGCGTACACCCACTACAACCGCTCCACCGCCCGCGGTCATACAATCGCCCGTTGCACCTTCAACCTCTTCCTCAACTTCCCCAAATCCTCCTTCCACTCAGGAATCAACTGCTCCAGCCACCACACAATCAATACCAGAAATTTTTGATAATTCCAGCGTATTAGGTGGGTACTCCGATCTTGGGGAATTAATGATACTTGAAAGATTATTTTTTTAATATTGCATTTGATTCCGTCAGTAACTGGTGCCGACTATGAAAATGCAATTCAACGTATTATGGAGATGGGATACGAACGCGATCAAGTTGTGAAAGCCATGCGCGCTAGTTTTAATAACCCCGATCGGGCTGTTGAATATCTGATGACCGTATGTGACGTTTACTAATCGAATGCTTCTGAATAGCGCGAAAGATTTCTAACACCCGGTGTATTCTATTTGTTAACCTCAATCACAGGAAATCCCTCCAGAAACCGATCAACCAACCGAAACCTCGAACCCCTCAGTTAATCGACAACCTGTAACTGTAAACACCAGTCCGTCCGGTCAATCAGGTCAGGTCAATATGTTGGATGCCTCCTCTTGATGAAAATTTACTGAACAATGATATCATCAATTATCGTTAGCCATACCTCAGAATCTTTTTCATGCCGGAGAACATCAAGGAAGTACCGAGGAATTGGCTTTCTTGAGGAATCAACCTCAATTTCAACAATTACGAAGACTGGTTCAAGAAAATCCGGCACTATTGCAACCATTACTTCAACAAATTGGACAATCCAACCCTCAATTACTACAGGTGATCTCTTCATTTGCCAATCGAACGAAATTAAAATGTTTACATGCTCACACAGACATTTTTCATTTGATCAGCTCATCAATGCTAATCAGTCAACGTTCATGCGTCTTTTGCATGAGAATAATAATGAGGAAACGGGGGGTGATGCAAATTTACCTCCTCCCCATTTTGTTTCTGTCACACAAGAGGAAAAGGATGCTATTGATAGGGTAAAGATAATACGAGCGCGAATAATAAATGTTCGATATAGTATTTTCACAGGAATCATTTAACCGATTTATTTTTTAGTTGGTAGAGCTCGGATTTGATCGGGCCCATGCCATCGAAGCTTTTCTCGCCTGCGATCGAAATGAAGAACTGGCGGCAAACTATCTGTTTGAAAGCATGAACGAAGAAGAAAACTAATCCATTGAAGTCATATTATTTATGCGTCCGGTGGAAAATTAATGCTTTTGGTGACATAAGAATCAATTCGCTCTAACGTGTCTTCAGACTCTCAAGCTGTTACACCATCGATATTATTTATATTGTGCTAGCTTGTGAATTACCCATGGAATTGAAATCAATTAATTACATACAGTATATCAATCAATCGATAACCTCAAACTAAGGTTTTGCCTCTTAGAAAGTGAAAAATATCAATTTTCTAATAGTCAGAATTTGACTTTGACTTAGAACTTAAATTAAAATGTTGATCTTTATTGTAGTATGCAAACTAATTGTATTTCGGCGGAGTTAGATTGATAAATCAGTTTAAATAAAAATAATTTAAAGCTCTTTCTATGGTGATCAATGAGCTTTGTCATAATAAAAAGTCACGCGTGTAAATAGAGTGGCGGGTTCACTATAATGGATTTATGTAGAACTAACTTAATATGGTATTATGTTATTTATTACGTATTAGCTTATTAACTGTACAGCTTCAATATTCCCCAGCTTCATATTGCCGTTTTGGATCTCAACAAACAGTTTGCGAATTTGACCGTGGCGGATAGTAAATCCGAAGCTACCACTTCGGTCCGACCAATTTCAAATTCTCCGGTCAAAATTCATACACTGCCTTCTCCGAGAAGGTCCGAGCAATTTGCACCCACAATAAGCAGAAGTACAGTCGAAAGCGTACCAATGTCGAAAGTGAAAACAAAGAATATAACTCGGAAAGGTCCCACCATGAAACTTCCAGACATAAGTTCCTCAAAAACACCTTTTTCCAACTTCTCGCGGTTTGTGTGAGTAATTATATTTCAAGGCTAATCGAATGTTTATCTGAACTGCCGCAGGAATAAGAAGGGTTCGGGCGAATCTTATTATTAAATTTTTCATTTTCACTTGCAGAGACCCTTCGGGAAGGCTCAGTTTTAGTGGAAAGGCTATCCTTCATGCCAAAGGAGTGGACTTCAGCAATGGAAATAGCTATAAGATCAATATGGAAGAATTCGATCTATTGGAAGAACTCGGAAAGGGTCAATTTGGAACTGTAAAAAAAGTATTTCATAAGCCCACTAACGTTACAATGGCCATGAAGGTTGGTGAAATAAAGAAAAAAAAAAAAATTAAATTAAATATTGAACATTGAACATTAAAAATTCGCGCCATTAGATTACAATTAAATTTTTCCTTATTAAAGGAAATCCGCCTTGAGTTTGAGGAATCAAAATTTAATCAGATATTGATGGAGCTGGATATCCTCCACCAATCTAGAAACGAATTTATCGTTGAATTCTATGGTGCTTTCTTTATTGAATCTTGCGTGTATTATTGTATGGAATATATGGATGCAGGATCTTTGGATAAGTTATACGGAAACGGTGTACCGGAAGATGTGCTCGCTGTCATCACGAGTTCTGTAAGTCATTGCGTTATTTATTTTATTATTATTTATTATTTATTATTATTTTATTTTTGCTTTTTAATTCGGTTCGATCGCTAAAACGTTATATGATGACACATAGATGGTAAAAGGGTTGAAATTCTTAAAAGACGAGTTGAATATCATCCATCGTGGTACGTAATCGATTTACTTTTACCTGAAGTTCGGTTTGCATATTTCTTCTTTTACACTTTCATCATTTCCAATTTTAGATGTGAAACCCACAAATGTCCTCGCCAACAGAGTCGGAGAAGTGAAACTCTGTGATTTCGGAATTTCTGGTCAATTAAAACAATCACTCGCAAGGACTAAAGTTGGATGTATAAGTTATATGGCGGTATGCTTTTATATATCATAAATGTTCCCCATGATTATGTGGCACAATCTGAAGGAGAAAAAAAAATTTTTTTTTATTTTCATCATATCAGCCAGAACGGATATTTGCCGACGCCAGTACTTATACTGTACAAGCTGATGTCTGGTCTCTTGGACTCGCTATGGTTGAACTCTCTACTGGAAAATACCCCTATCCCGTTCCTGATGATGAAAAAGTAGGAATGTTCGCGCAGCTTGCTGCCATTGTCGGAGGAAATCCGCCATCATTACCGGCCGACAAATTCTCCGAAGAATGTTGCGATTTTGTGTCTCATTGGTATGTGTCATTGCGATTTATATGGTTAAGTCACCTCTCGTAAGTTAGCAATGAGTCATAAACCATTTATAATTCAGTCTGAACAAAAATCCTCAAGATCGTCCGACGTATGGTCAGCTCTTGGTAAGTAATTCAACGAACTTTACTGGCGAATCATATATATGCATCGTAGTTTTAACCAGTTTTCATGTGTTATCAGGAGCACCCGTTCTTGAATAAATACACGAATGTGGATATGAAATCATGGGCGGAAAATGCATACGCTTCACGGAAGGATATTTATAAGTAACCATAAAAATTTTGTAATATTCCTGACTATCAAATAATGATAAGTTGTTTGTAACT